TTTTTTTTTTTTTTTTTTTTTTTTTTTTTTTTTTTTTTTTTTTAGCTTTTGAAAGAAGTTCTCTACTATTTTCCCACAGTGTCTGCTCCAATTTATATTCCCCTAGTGTATTAGTATTCTCTTTTCTCCACCTGCTCACCAACATTTGCTATTTGCAGACATTTTTATGATAACCATTTTGATATGTATGAAGTGCTATCTCATTGTGGTTTTGGTTTGCCTTTATGTGATGATTAGTGATGTTGAGCATATTTTCATGTGTCTATTGAACATCCCTTGTGGCTCAGCTGGTAAAGAATCTTCCTGCAGTGTGAGAGAGCTCGGTTCAATTCCTGGGTTGGGAAGACCCCCAGGAGAAGGGAAAGGATTCTCACTCTGGTATTCTGGCCTGGAGGATTCCATGGACTATATAGTCCATTGGGTCACAAACGGTTGGACACGACTGAGCAACTTTCACATACATGTTGAACATCTGTATGTCTTCTTTGAAAAAGTGTCTATTTGAGTTTTCTGACCATTTTTAATAGAGGTTACATTTTTTGGTATTGAGTTACATGAACTGTTTATATATACTGAGTATTAACCACTTATAGATCATATCATTTGTGATATTAATTACTCTACTTTTTATTTTGTAGATTATTTCTTTTGTTTTAGAAAAGCTCTTAGTTTTGTTAACAAAGCTTTTGTTTCTTTCACCTAAAGATATAGATCCAAGAAAATATTGTGGCAGTTTTTGTCACTGTGTTCTTTCTTTCTTTTTTTTTAGTATTATGGTTTCCAACCTTATACATAAGTCTTTAATCCATTTAAGTTTATTTTGTATATGGAGTGAAGAAAAACTCTAATTTTACCCATTCACATGTTGCTGTCCAGTTTTCCCAACACCACTTACTGAAGGACTGTCTTTTTTCCATCTATATTCTTACCTCCTTTGTCATAAATTAACTGAGCATAAGTATGTGGGTTTAGCTTCCCTGGTGGCTCAGATGATTTATTTCTGGGCTCTAATTCTTTTCCAATTACCCATGTGTATATTTTTGTGCAATGAATACTGTTTTGATATCTGTATTTTTTTGGTACAATCTTAACTCAAGAAATGTGTTACTTCTAGCATTATTCTTTTTTCATGACTGCTTTAGTATCAGTGATTCCATGCATATTTTAAGATCATTTATTCTAGTTCTGTGAAAAATGTCATAGATAATATGATAGGAATTGCATTCAATTGTAGATGGCCATAGGTAATATGGATATTTTAACAGTATTGATTTTTCCAATCCATGACCATGGGATATCTTTTAATTTCTTTGTATCTCCAACTTTTTTCGTGTTTTATAGTTTTCAGAGTACAATTTTCCACCTCCTTTGTTAAGTTTGTTTCTAGATGTTTTATTCTTTATGATGTGATCTTAAACAGGATTGTTTTTTGCCTTCTCTTTCTGATAATTCATTAATAGTGTACAGAAAAGCAATGGGTTTCACACTTTTAATCTTAGGTCCTGAAAATTTACTGATTTAATTTATCAGTTCTAATAGTTTTTTGGTGGACACTTCAGAGTTTTCTGTATAAAATATCATGTCATCTGCAAATAGGAGAGTTTATTTCTTCCTTTCCAATTTGGATGTTTTATTTTCTTTTCTAATTGCTACCACTAGGACTCAAATATACTGTTAAGTAGAGGTGAGCAAGGGCATCCTTGTCTTGTTCCTGATTTAGGGGAAATACTTCAACATTTCATCATGGAGTATGATGCTAGATGTGTTTGTTATAAAAGACCTTTATCATACTGAGATGTGTTCTTTATATCAGTTTTTTTTTTTTCCTNGAACTCATGGCTTGTATGTGTGCTCACTTATGTTCGTGAACTTGATTTGCTAATTTGGATACTCCCTACTTAGCATCCAAAAACGGGTACAGGCTGTTAAGCATACATCTGATGTGAATTTTTGCTTATTGTATAATTATAGATTCTGGCTCCTCCTCTTCCTCAGAAGATGAACGACCCAAAAGGTCCCATGTGAAGAATGGTGAGGTAGGCAGGCGACGGAGACATTCCCCTTCCCGGAGTGCCTCTCCATCACCTCGAAAGCGCCAGAAAGAGGCTTCCCCTCGGATGCAGATGGGAAAGCGATGGCAATCGCCAATGACTAAAAGTGGTAGATGGAGGAGAAGTCCCTCCCCACCGCCCGCCAGAAGGCGACGTTCTCCTTCTCCTGCTCCTCTGCCTCGTCGACGCAGGTCTCCCACACCATCACCACGGCGGAGGACTCCGTCTCCTCCTCCACGTCGTCGCTCACCTTCCCCAAGAAGATACTCTCCTCCAATACAGAGGAGATACTCTCCTTCTCCACCTCCAAAGAGAAGAACGGCTTCACCCCCTCCCCCTCCTAAACGAAGGGCATCACCATCTCCACCACCAAAGCGTCGGGTCTCCCATTCACCACCTCCCAAACAAAGAAGCTCCCCAGTCACCAAGAGACGTTCGCCTTCACTGTCATCAAAGCATAGGAAAGGGTCTTCCCCGAGCCAATCTGCCCGGGAGGCCCGGTCACCACAGCCAAACAAACGGCATTCGCCCTCACCACGGCCTCGAGCTCCTCAGACCTCAAGTCCTCCACCTGTTCGAAGAGGAGCATCATCGTCACCCCAAAGAAGGCAGTCCCCATCTCCAAGTTCTAGGCCCATTAGGAGAGTCTCCAGGACTCCGGAACCCAAAAAGATAAAAAAGTAAAAATATTTTATCCTTTTTGGTTAGGAACACTTACCTTGCATAGCTCTTTATGTTTGAAAACTCCTCCTTCCCCCCCCACTGAGAAATCACAGGAAAGAACAGCTGTGAATACAAATTTTAAGGCAAATTCTTGGTCCTATTCATATATCCTTTTCTGTTTTCAGGATAGTTCCTTGTGGTATAAGCTAAATGAGGATTTTATTTGGTTCTTAAGGATATCAGGTTAATTCAGAAGTGTGCTTCCAAACCCAGCTCTGAAGTGATGTATAGAATGTTTCTTGCATGTCTGAAAGACTGATAAAAGCAGTGTTAAATATGGCAACTGGCATTACTTATTTCCTACAGGAAGAACCATTAACAGAATGGGTAGAGGATAGTGGGACTTGGAACTACTCTCCGGGAGACTTAGATGATAAAAATTGTGTCAATAACAGCCAGCCAGCAAGCTAAGTGCTGTAAAATATTTAAAGTTGGTGATCAGGTTGTGTAATGGTAGTTGGTCGTTTTCTCTTAAAGCAGGATCTCTGTTTTGAAGGCTAAATGTTTTATTTTTTCCTTCTGTTTCTAGAGCTGCCTCACCAAGCCCTCAGTCGGTAAGGAGGGTCTCATCTTCCCGATCTGTCTCGGGATCTCCTGAGCCAGCAGCTAAAAAGCCCCCAGCACCTCCGTCACCTGTCCAGTCTCAGTCACCCTCCACCAACTGGTCACCAGCGGTACCGGTTAAAAAGGCTAAAAGCCCAACACGAAGCCCATCACCGGCAAGGAATTCAGACCCAGAAGGAGGTGGAAAGAAAAAGAAGAAAAAGAAGGACAAGAAACACAAAAAGGATAAGAAGCACAAGAAGCACAAAAAACACAAGAAGGAGAAGGCCGTAGCTGCCGCGGCTGCAGCTGCCGTAACCCCTGCAGCCGTGGCTGCCCCCACAACCACCTCAGCACAGGAGGAGCCAGAGCCAGAGCCAGAGCCTAAGAAGGTGCCCGTGGGCCCTGCCCTGAAGTCTGTGCAAGCAGCGAAGTAGCTTGGCTTGCGGAAGCAGCTGGGGAGGCTGCTTCTAATGATTAGATGCCCCATGTTAGCTGTCTTCTGATTGGTATCTCTAGGACCACCTACCAAGAGCAGGATTTGCTAAGGCTAAAGATGAGAATACGAATAACGTCCAAAAAGTTTATATTTTTAAAAAGAACTTTGATATTATTAAACTTAATTCACCCATTTAAAGTATAGTGATTTTGTGGTTTTTAGTATATTCATAGTTGTGCTGCCATCACCACAGATAGACTCAACATTGCCAACCATTGTCTCAAGATTTAATAATATGATCTTTCTGGTTTTTTTCTTTTTTTTTTTTTAGGAGACTGAAAGTGAGGCTGAAGATAACCTTGATGACTTAGAAAAGCACCTGCGTGAAAAGGCCCTGAGATCAATGCGGAAGGCTCAAGTGTCCTTTACATAAAATTTTGTTTTATGAAATGTCATGGCTCCATTCATAATTTTGTCTTGTTCCAGTCGGTATATACAACTTTCAGAGCTCTTGTATTTGAAAAGCTGGAAGGGCCCAGACTTTGAAATAGTGTCTTGTTTTCACTGTTTTTGTTTCGTTTTTGTTTCTTTCTTTTTTTTTTTTTTGACTAAAGCTATATAAAGCTTGTGGATTAAACAGAATAAATTTCTAAATTAAAAAAAAATATGATCCTTATTATATATTGTTGGAATTGGTTTGTTTATATTTTGTTAGTGATATTTGCAAGGAGAAATAGCAAAGACAGAGAAGAAAGCCTTCTTAAGTGAAAATGCAAAGAAATAAAGTGAAACAATAGATTTAGAAAAGACAGAGGAATCAGATACAAAACTGCCAACATTCAGGAATGTGAAGTCAAATTGGTTTTAGGAAGCATTACCATGAACAAAGCTAGTGGAGGTGATGGAATTCCAGCTGAGGAATCCTAAAAGATGATGCTGTTAAAGTGCTGCACTATGTCAGCAAGTTTGGAAAGCTCAGCAAACTCAGTCACAAGACTGGAAAAAGACAGTTTTCAGTTCAATCACAAAGAAAGGAAATGCCAAAGAATGTTAAAACTACCACACAATAGCACTCATTTCACATGTTAGCAAGCTTATGCTCAAAATCCTTCAAGTTAGACTTCAGCAGTACATGAACAAAGAACTTGGAGATGTACAGGCTAGGTTCCAAAATGGCAGAGGAACCAGAGATCAAATTGCAAACATTTGCTGGATCATAAAAAAAGCAAGAAATTTCCAGAAAAGAATCTACTTCTGCTTCATTGATTATACTAAAGCCTTTGACTGCGTGGATCAAAACAAACTGTGGAAAATTCTTAAAGAGATCAGAATACCAGAACACCTAACCTGCCTCCTGAGAAACCTGTATGCAGGTCAGGAAGCAACAGTTAGAACTGGACATGGAACAACAGACTGGCTCCAAATCAGAAACGGAGTAAGTCAAGGCTTTATATTGTCACCCTGCTTATTTAACTTATATGCACAGTACATCATGAGAAACTCTGGGCTGGAGGAAGCACAAGCTG